ACTCTCCTACTCCAAATGTAGAACTTTAGTCAGCTGCTGCAGAGTCTGGAGATGCGATTGTCTTTTGCAAATCATGTCAACCCATTTTGTCCAATGCTGATTAATTTGGATTAAATCTAGCGATTTAGATGACTGTGACTGAAACAGGTTGTTGTTTCTTTGCAAGAATAGGTGTGTCAAACGAGATATATGTGGCTGTGTATTGTGAGATTGCAATACAGCTCTAGGATGCTGCAAAATTGAATGGGTATGTGTAGGTAGAACATGGTTAGAGTACCTTTTTCCATCAAAGTCTATTGAATTCGAACCAAATCAATCTTACTTCCTTATAATACCATTTTCCATATCATTACACTACCACCACCAACATTTTTAACGTTCTGGAGGCAGTTATCTAACTAATCTTCATTAAAAAGCATTAGCACTCTTAGACTTACATGTATAAGGGGCTTTCAAATAAACATTCTGGACTAGCAGATTAACCAAAATGTTCAGCATGCAGTGATGCTGTGGTAATACTCTATTCATCTGAGATCTTTGAAGTCGATATTTGGGGTATTGTGGGGTCGGAACAACGGCATGAATAATACTCTTGCAATAATTCGTAGTCAACTGAAAACGGTCTTGTTAGATGATCTGTGCAGTTCAGGGATAGCTAATGCTTTAGATGACGTCCTTGCATTACATTAATGCAATTTGCGTAATCCTTGGAAGTGATGCTGTGCTGCTGATGTCACACGTAGTCTTCCACATTTTTTGCGAACATTGGGTGCTCGATGTTAATGGTTTATGTTATATAGGTTAGATATGGTCTGTGTGTAACATTAAAACCTCTTGCAATTGTAGATTGCGGTACCCCTGCTTCCAGTCGCCCATTTTCCTTTTTGTGCCACGCAACATTCAGATGCAGCAATTTTAGGAAGCATCATTTTTTCAGATAAAACCAGATTCAAAATATCGAGAACCCCCGTTTTTGATAGCCCCTTTGTACCTGAAGGAATTGCATCGGAATTCAACAATTGAAAATTGAGATAAAAATTTTGGGGGAAATTTTGCAAAATCAGGTCTTTTTGTCTGTGAGACTTGTAGAATAGCTGTAAAGTTAACAATTGCATTAAAAAATCATTTATTTCACTCGAATACATCGTATCCATACAAAAATAAAAGGTATGACAAAACTATAACAAATTCTCAGGGCATTGTTCCTACTATGCGTTTCTTTTTTTGAAGAGTATATTATCCCACCTCCGATGTTTTGGAGAACCGTGTTTGTTCTGCTCCTATTTTGTATTGTTTAAAGAACTTTTGATCTTGAATACTGTTCGTTGTCTTCATATGTTTTATGCAAAATTTTGTATAGAATTATATACAAAACAAAACAAACTCGCATATTAAATTCAAGCACCAAAGAAAACTAACAAATTTTGTTATGTTCTTTGAATTTATTATTAATGTCATTTTTATTCAAAATCAGTTCAAAAATATAGGTCAGTCCAGGAAACGAATTTTTGTTATATATCCTAAAAGTAATTTTTAAAAGATGATTTTGAAAAAAGAGCAGAAATTACTTCACAATACAACAATTTGTACTTTCCTATTTAGAAAATATTTCCTCATCTTTTTCAATTTTCATTTTCAAGAGTAAAAAGAACACCATTCTGAGGAAAATGATTATAATTATGATTAAAATAACTAATATTAATAAAATTATAAATGTCCCTCACTTTTATTGATATCTTTTTTTTTTATCCTTTAGAGTGAATTTACTTTACTCTGAATACACGACATTTAAAACAAAAAAATAAAGACTCAGAAAAAACCCCAGAATAAAAGCATACATTTTCATAAACTAAGAAATCTTTTTTGTTACCTTAAATGGACATAATATTGTAATGCGAAATCGCTGCATGACTTATAGTACAGGAAATTGTATATCTTGTTGAACGTAAGAAACATTTGTGGTCTAATTAACAGATTTTGTTTTTTTTTGTCTTGGACAACAGATAATATATTGTATTATATGAAATTCTTAACGACACAAATAATTGACAATCAAGTTAGAATTCTTGACAAGGTGTAAAGAATTTATTGTCACCCTTGTCAAAAATGGTATTTTTCCTCTTTTGGAAAAAAAATGCTGCTATGATAAACTACCTCATAACTTAGTTTTGACGCTTTTTGTTATATATACTGTGAACAGATTTTTAATATGTCTACCTTATGAACATGTCTTAAAATGTTTTTGAATTATGACTGAAATAAAAATAGAAATTATTTTTTTATTTCATATTTTAAAAATCGCTCTATTAAATGATCAACAGAAAATGGTTTTATTTAAAAAAATATATATAAAACAAAAATTAAAAATTGAAATTTTACTTTTGATCAATATTAAGAAACATTGCAAACTTTCATGACAGAAGAAAACATATTGAAGATAGAGTTTCAACACTGAATACTTCAAAGTAAAAGAAAAAATGTATCTTTTAATAAAGAAGATGATTAATTTCAGTAGTAACGCAAAGTTAAAGCTCTCTTAAATAGAAATTGATTTACAGTATGTTAGATAAAGACAACAAATTAGTTCACAAATACACAAAAATTTAAAATTTAACTTTTTTCAAAAATGAAATATTTTGCAAACATTTACTTGTATTTATGCATTAAAATCAGCTTTATTTGTTTTAAATATATACTTTTATTCAGAATGGATTTATAAAAATCATATATATATATATATATATATATATATATATATATATATATATATATATATATATATATATATATATATATATATATATATATATATATATATATATATATATATATATATATATATATATATATATATATATATAATGAAAAAATTATTTTATGCACATACAGTGTAATTATCCATAATTATCCAGAAGGTTTTACCATGACGATAAATTTTATAGATATCTAAAAAATATCATGCATTTCAGGTTTAAAAGGCCTTTTTGTATTTAGTTATTTCCACTTATAGTAGCTAGAAGCACATATTGTAAATATGCATGATATCTCTAATGACAACATAAATATATTTTCTGTGGTACTGAAAAATAATTGATGTAAGGAACTTATTTACCTTTTAATGAAAGTTTCCTTTTTTATCCTGATATATTCTTTCCTTTTGATGTGTTAAGTATGAAATATAAATAAGAATTTCATAATAATTTTTGTAATGTGGGTTTACAAAAAGTCATTGGATTATAAAAGTGTAAATGACAATACAATTCTTTTACACAATTGTAAGATAAGGTGAGCAGTTCTTACATGTAGGTTATCAGTCAATTAGAAAATCATATCATTGTTTTTCAACATCATTTTCAATATCATTGTTAACAATATCTTTAAAATCAGAGAATGCATTATATATATATATATATATATATATATATATATATATATATATATATATATATATATATATATATATATATATATGTAACATGCAAAAGAAATAAATGAAATTGTAAAGGATTAAATTTTGAGCTACTCATGGAAGAAAAAAATGTCTGGTTCAAGAAATGAAAGGCATGTTATACAAAATGTGAACTGATTAAACATTCTTTAGAATACTCTTTTAATTATGGAATATGTAAAAGTATATATTGTTGTTTATTCTCAACGATGTTGGCGAAATTAACAAGGTTATAAAGCGATGACCAATAAAAAGAATATTTTCGATTAATAATAATAAAAAAATAAAAACAGAAAACAATCCTCATTATAAAACTTAAAAGAATATTTATCTTCATTTAATTAGTAACTAATAAAATGAAACACATGGAGATAACGAACAGTATTCAAGATCAAAAGTCCATAAAACAAAACAAAATAGGAGAATACTGTATTTTATCTCATATGTTTCATAAAATGTAATATATATGCAGTATTTAAAAAATAAATTTGTACAGTTAATTAACACAGTCATCGTTTGATTTATTAAAATTGGAGATTTATGAATCGAAGAAAATATATTTTTAAAATGTCTTCAGTGCCGATTTCGACGAAGTTTGAAATTTTCAAATGAAAACTAAAAGTGTTTAAATAAATAAATATAAGATAAACCATTTCTGAATTCTTTCCAAATGCTTTGGAAGTTAATAATATTTTTCATGGTTTAAAAATAAAAAAGGAATTGGGCGTATACATCTATACAGTATTTTCATGATTAGGTGAGATAAATATTTTGAATCCCATTAATTATCTTTAAATAAACTAGGAAAGACCATTTTTTGTGTGTTATATTCACAATCGAAGTAAAAGAATATATCAGAGGAAAAGCATTAAACTAAACAAAGGTTGTTCAAAACTTCCGGGGAAAAAAAAATTTAAATATTCTTTTCGTTGATGGTTGAGTTTTGTTTGGTAGTTTTGACTGAAGATTTACTGAAGTTATTTTATTTACATATCAACAGTTTTTATTTAAAGCCTGATTAAGCAAAAAGTGTCATACAATTTGAAAACTATATTGTTAGATAAAGGGCAAAACTTCTTTTTTAATTCATACACTGTACTTTATTTAACAATTGATATACTCGCAAGATATGGCGTTTCAATATGAGTAGAAAGGGATAAAAACGATTTCTTTACATTTTAATATTTAAAAAATGGAATTAACATTTGACACACAAGTGATTAGAAGATGCAAACTGTTCAAATTATTGACACTGCATGAATTTATACCAAAAAAACCCCCACATATGGTTGTACTGAAAAGTCTTGCAATGTCCAACCTCTTCCATAAATCACGACACTTATGCAGTGCTTTTAAATCTTACAGTTTAACTTTCATCAGTATCAATTTTCAATATTAGTTTATATTTAGATAAAGATGACATGACGAATAAATCACTACGTCGTAAAGATTCAAATTCACTTGCATAGAGCTGTCAGAACTTTTATGATAAACAGGATAAATTGTTTTATGGTCGACAAAACGAACACTGAGTCCGCAACAAGGTTCACATATGGATAAGTTGCACCAAGAAGGATTTCAAACAAATCAATTGGGAGATTTTCTGTCAAGTGATGATTCAAATCAACCTTGCTCGTTTGATGTTCCTCATGAGGTATTTGTACAAATATTTATCTAAATAATTTTTGAAAGTCTTCTTACATGTATCATTATTCGTTTAGTGTTGCTTTTCAAGCTAAACATTTTTTTTAAATCTATTGTTCAAAAGATCGTTGAAAAGGTTTTTAAAAAACATCCTTAATATAAAAGCGTTTCTATGATCAATTGCAGGATTTCATATCAGTGTATGTTTTATATCGGTATAGAAAAATATAATGCATCCATGAATTTTTATCGTTATTTGATGTATGTTCGATTCGTTTTAATGTCGAATCAAATGCAGAAATGTGCACCTTTTCATGCAAAATGATTCTTTAAGTATAAAACCAGATCTGCTTAAAATTGGCACAAATAGTACCATAAATTTGCTAACAGATTGTCATAAAACATGGCTCCCATCATTATTGTCATAAAAACACTCAAGCATCTTTAAGATATATACTTTTGAGTATGTGCGTGAAGGTGAGGGTATATATGGGTGTGAGGAGTGTGTGAGTGAGAATGTGAAAGGGTGTACGGATTTGAGTGCCGCGAGTATCATGGGGGTATTTGCACATGTAATTATAGATTAATTTTAATTTTTCAGAGTTAGATTTTAGTTAACAAATCATTTGTGAGGTATGAAAATTTAAATTTCATTTTTGTCGATGAAACAGTTGAAATTTTAACTAGTGATTGTATTTTCAGATTATTTGGACAAACTCAACCCACTTTTCTTCTAGCGACAATCATTATCTTGGATCCCCGGTATCTAATACAAATAATGAGACTAAGAATGATTACAACTGTGAGGAAAATTTGCTGGAATATCCGGAATCTCAACAAAATTTTCTTAATATGGAGGATCAAGAAGTAGTAAGTGGCCGTTAGAAAAGAAACAAAAATTGCTATTTGAAGTTGACAAGTTTTTTTAAACTTCTGTTTAATGTTAAGAATATTTATTCTCAAGATTTTTTTTTTGATTTGGGCATATCTTATTATGAAGATCGAAAAATTTACTTGCTGTGTCTTTTCCATTCTTGTTTTTTATCCAAACAAATATGTTTTCATACAAGCATTTGACAAAACCCAATTATAAACATAAGCATTGCGATAGATATCTAAAATATTTTATAAAAAAAATCAAATTTGGACAGTAAGAATAAATCTTTATTCTTTGATACAGACCAAACTAAAGGAGAACAAGAAATCTGTTTAATTCAATACAAAATTACTTTTAAAGTCGATATTAAAAGGATGATAGAGTTCTTTATTAACATCATCAAGTAGTCTTCGCACAACAGGTTTTCCAACTAACTGAATGAATTTCGAAGAGCATGCATTGTACCCTTTTATTACCCAATCTGTTTCTATATTCATATAAAACAGGATTCGTTCAAAAACTTTTACATGAAAAGAAAAAATAATTGTGACCTTCAATCTATCTTAAAATGTACTAAAAAAATTTTCACAAATAACAATATACAATCAAAGCTCGTTTTTTTTTCACTTCCACCCATATGCCGACTTGATATATGCTAGTGAACGTGAAATAAAAGACACCACATCGTCTAAAACAGCTGTTTCATATTTAAATGTTTTACTTACTACAAACGATAAAGTCCAACTAAAAACCAAATACATGTAATTTGATGAATGATATTATTTCAGCTTATTTTTTCATTGTCAATTTTATTAGCTTAATTTTGAACGGAATGGTATGTACAATCTCCAAACTTATTCGACTCTCAAGATAATGCTTTGAGTACGATTAATTGAAACAAAGACAAGCTTAGGACATATAAATTAATGTAACAGGGATTTCAACAATTTCGTTCAAAGTCGGCAATTCATGACCTATTAAGAACATATAACCTATCATTGGTTTGTATCTTGTCAGTCAAGTTTCATAGCAATTATTCCTCTGTTTTCACACTGAATCCGACAAGGGATTTTTCTGTACACTTGTTCAATACATAGGGGTCATGGTGTGCGTGATCGATGTACTGGGAACGTCATCAATGAATGCTTACTTTTCCTGAACAAAGGCGACCTCTAGACTTTTAAAGCGTCTTTGTTTAATATAGTGTTCTTATTTGTATTGTTCTCAGATTTCTCTTTAGATATGTCTTCGTCTTCACATGCCTTCTTTATCACGATAACCGCCAGCATAAAATGCTTCCTCCGAGGCACCTGATCCCATCTCTAGTGCTGTTAGAGATTTCTTTTCCTAGATTGTTTTTAGAGCATCACAAACTTTGTTAGCTTTACATTTAATATTATTTAACTTTTGTTTCAGATGGACATTTTTACTGACAATGCAGTAAATTCCTTTCAGAACAATTCAAATGAGGAACAAGACTTAGAAGAGACTATGTCATGTTCAAATGTAAGTTTTTGTTGAGTTTTAAATATATATATTATTCTACATTGTAAATAAACCTTCATTTTATTGCAGTCATCATATCTTTAAAGAAAATCTAAAAGGTTTTTTTTTAAAATAAGTCGTTATCCTCATACAACGAAGAACATTAATTGAATAATTTTATATGCACGGAAATGTTTTATTATGCAATGTTTTGAATAACAATTATGAAAATAGTAATTTTCTTGAAATACCTTTGGACAAGGTTGATAATTTCTCTCCAAGTGAAGCTTACTTACTTCCAAAAGAAAGTATTCCTCCAATGCCAATGATGTGGGCAGCAGAAGAAAAAATAGAGAAGGAAATAAAGAAAAGGGACAAACACAATACCAGTAAGACATTCTTTATGATAATAATAATAAGAAGAAGAAGAGGAAATCGAGCATGTTAATAAATGATCATTTTTGCTTAGTTTGTGTTTTAAAAATGCATTTTCCAGTGAGGCCTACGCAAGATTCTTAAGCTAATAATAGTACATTCTAAGAAAGACCTGGGTCTCTGAATTACATGTAAGTTAACTTTGACAAACTTTTTTTTTAGTCGAACAACGGCGAAGAGAGAATATAAACAACAGAATCAAAGAACTAGGCACACTTTTACCACCAACAATACATCCGTAAGTTTTTCCAATAATTTGCATATTATATTACCAGTATCAAGTACAAATAATCATCTAATTTAAAATATCATCAACACCGTTACTTTGAAAAATAGTTCTTAATGTCTTTGAATGCTATGCAACATCGGTGCAGGTGCTATATTTAGGTAATTTGTATAGATAAAACACTTTCAGAAATGAGTTTTGTTATTTATTTTCAAAAATAGGATAATTATATATATAAAAAAAGTGTAACACACAAGAAGGGGACTAGATTCAAAGCTCTGGTTTTGATTAAAGTAACCTAAACTATGAAAATGGCTTATCCCCAAAAAGCAGCTAGAAAAATATAACATTTCCACTTCTAAACATATGGAGACTTAAAACGCAGAATCCCATGGGAGAATGGTGGGATTTTCAGTCCCACCAACTATCCCACGTTTCTCCCATGGGAGAAAAAATGTCAGATGGGATATTTTCTCCCATGGGATTTTTTCTCCCATGAATTTGTTCAAATTGGATAAATCCCACGGATATTGAAAATCAAACAACTTCTCCCATACATTGTGAAACATGAAATAAACCCCATACAGATGACAATGACAAATTTCTCATCATAATATATAGAAAATATACCAACTATAACAATGTATTGGAGAAAAGAATTCATTGTCAATATCCATGGGATTTATCCCATTTGAACAAATTCATGGGATAAAAAATCCCTTAGGCGAAAATTTAATTTTTTCTCCCATGGGAGAAACGTGGGATAGTTGGTGGGACTGAAAAAATTATTCTCCCATGGGATTCTTTTTAGGACTCCATATCTTTAGAAGTATAAAATACAATTTAACCCTGGAGTACTGTAAGAAATTCCACCAAGTGATATAAACATATTTTTGATATCACAATGAGAAATGGTAATAAAAAGTCTTTGTCGTGTCCAGAGTTAAATGTCGTACTGTTAACTACAAGTTAAAACTATTTTAACAAATCCTACGAAAAGGAAAGAAAAAATGGCATTTCAAAACGTTCCAATTACTAGGTTTAATATATACATTCATTATTATAAAAGAGGTAGTATTGCTGCGGGGAGGGGGGGGGGGAGGTCAAAATAGACGTGCATTGGGTAAATGGAGGTCAGCCATCAGGAATTAAATACAACTGTACTGCTTATTGACCATGTGACGAAACCGTCAATGCCTAATCTACAGCAAAGGCGTGAATTTAAGGCATTAACCAAGAATGGAATCTGTTCATATGATCCATAAAATACAATTTAATAGTATGTTGAAACTACTAGTAGTATATTCTTCATACTTTTATATAAAATCAATGTTAAAAATTAAGTAAATATTCTATACTGATAAGGCAAAGTTTTCATTTTTTTTCTTCAGAAAACAGAAAACTTGTAAAGGTAGTATTTTGAAAGCTTCAGTTGATTATGTAAAGGAGTTACAGAAAAGCAGAGAGACTCTCATTAAAGTCGAAAGTAACATCAAAGCAATGAAGGCTAGAAACCAAAAAATGTTAATGAAAATATTTGTAAGTATTACAAGTATTTTGCATTTATATTAAAATTTAAATTGTTTTAAAAAGCTATAAAGAATTAATTTAACCATTTATTTAATTCTTTTATATTTAAGTGCTGCAGATAAATAGAAACATTCATTTTTACTTTTTATTTTATCCATTTCAGCAACTCGAACTGAAGATTAACTTATATAAACTCACGTGCGATGGGTGAGAGACAATGGAAAGACTTCGTAAGATTCTATGGTGGCAGATAACTTTTTATGTTTTTCCGACACTTTTTTAAATAAAGGAATAATTTGTTCCATTGAAGTAACAAAGCAGAAATGTCATAACGTTGTGTGCAAGAATGTGTAAAATTTTATTTTTTAAGATTTAGCATATATAAATTGACATAAATTTCAAACAAAATATATATTAATATGGTTTTTTTTTTTCCATCACGATACTTAATATTTAAGATTTGCCAAAATCTGTTAAGATACAATATATATCTTTTATACATTTACCTTTTTATTTTGAAAATATTGTTTAATACGAAAAGTACAGGAAATAATTTACAGATATTTGAAAAATAATCCTGTCACTATACATCAATATTCAGATGAAACCAGGAACTTTAAGTGTTTTGGAATCTGATATTTGGGTTCAAGATGTTTAAAATTTGTTTATAGCTCGTGTGTTATTTGAAGAAAATAAATATTTTATCTGACAACCACTGTGCTTTTTTTAAACAAGAGATAGAACAATGCAACACATACTTTGGAATGGCACAAAATTTTCATCATCATGGAATCTTGGCACAAAATTTTGCATCACAATCATCAGGAATAAAAAGTTTAAATTAAAATAATCTTGGCCAGTCCATTTTTTTCACAATCTTCTATAAGAGTGGGTTTATCACAAGTAATATTATTTTTGGTGAAAGTCAATTATCTTATCATAATAGGATGATGAACTTCGTTATTCTCTATACAAAGCAAGATGTATTTTCCGGCTTAAGTCAAAGCAAAATATCTATGATTAACAGGCTTCTACATTTTAACCTTTACGTACAATAGAGAATAAGCGTATCAATACAAAAAAATGAAATTACAATTTTAAAAACTTATGGTCACCTAATGATTAACCTTTTTAGGTATAAATATATTTATATATCCCCAACAATAATTATTTTTTCAAATGAAACACTTGTATCTCATTTATAATAACTTTGTTTTATTTCATTCTTGTTGAAAATCAGAAGGGGATGTGAGAAAATGTGAAAAAAAATTCATTATGTTACCTAATATCTCTCATTTTGAATTAAAAAAAAAATCGCCAACAGCCTCTAACTTAAAATAAGGAAAATACAGTAAAACACGGTAAAATTGAACACGCTTTCATGTATAACGAATAGAAGTTTACAACGAAGCTATTTTTATTCCCAATGACGTAACAATATATTCCCTTTGTCGAGTCAAACTGAGTCAAACATTTTATTTTATTTCTCGAAATTCATTCTCTAGTCATGATGTTCTTCATCTGATCTTTTGAAGTATTGTCCAAGTCCCATCATATGAAATCTGTACTATGAATACAAAAGATATTTGTGTGCCAGTGCTCCTGATGCCTAGGTCACATTTAAGCCGATGGTCGGAAGACAAAAATTTTCTGGTCTTGTTGGCTGAAAGATCATAATCGGGCCGACCCAGTATCGGGCCACACGGAGCAGTCACATTATTTCCTAGGGACACCGATGACTTCAATAATAACACAAAAAATCTTTTTCTTTTAGAAATCAGCAATATTTTTTTCAAAGATCTATATTCAGATAGGTGACGTGGAGTAATGTTTGCAAGGGAAAATGGCAGAATTTTGTAAGATTGTGACACAATCTTAAATTTTTTTTTCTCAACATATCCACGTCTCTGATTTAACCTTCAATGGAATTGTGAATGAAACATTTGATGTGGACTCTCATAGATCATGAGAGTGTATCATACATATGTGTTATGTCGTATAAGCGAGAGATCCATTAAATTATTTTTTTTATGACTTTATAATCCGAAAGTTATTTTCAATTCATAAGTTTTTAGAAACCAGCTGAGAGCAGGAATTTATTCTTGCAATTGCTCGGAAAAATAGAGAGAAAAAAACGCCATCTTGAAAATTTCATACATTTCCAAACCTTGGTTATAAAAATAAGTGGTTTGGAAAATAAATACACAAGGTTGTATTTTCCATTGACATTGTCATGTAATACGGTAACGAATAGTATCAAATAGTACTTGCGAAAACAAATAGAATTAAAGCTCGAAGTCCAATTAAACGATACAAATCGGAAACAA